CAAAAACAACCCGTTTTTTCCCGCTTTCTGAAGATTTTATGTCCTCTTCCTCCTCTAACGTCGATAGGAACATATCTTTTGTCATCTCGCCAAACTCACTCTCGTCGCTACTGGGACTCGACGGGATTCTTTGCAGTCGACTTTTCACTGAACTAAAAACAGTGGAGGCCAGCGGAGCCTTTGAAAGACCAGCACCTGGACACCAGGTTTCACGCCTCTGTAGGTGGACGTGATGAGAAGAGAACCGTCAGTGGTCTGAGCCCTTAAAATTGGCCACGATCCGCGAGGTGATCGTAAGCTAGAATAACACGCGTAACGAAACCCAAAACATTTACTAACCTTTGCCAATTTTTGTTTACTTCGGTTATTCCCAGTCTCTCCTCCCGCAGTGCAAATCATATTGCACAACCTTTTAATCTTTTCTTCTTGTTCGTTCTGCAAAAAGGCAACAACAAGTAAGACTGTGTGGACTGAAATAGCTTGTTCTTTCTTTCCCTCTTTGCGATATCGTAAAGCCTGATGGGTTACAGCACTGCGCTAGAAATTTCTACCCTCGAGCCAGTTTAGTTGCCTGGACCACATCTGCAGAGGAAATGCGCACCCAAAGCTGGGCAAGAGAGCCGATTACGTCGTGGCTCTCGCGCGCAGCCTAAAAACTCATGGGTATTGTTATTCTGGGGTTCACATAACAAGCATCACTTGTATAACAGGGTTGAGTAGTTGCTCATATTAATTAAGCACTTCCACTGGCCCCAGCGTCCAAGGTCAGCTCTCCGCTTGTCACCGGAGTAAGACCTCATCTTTTCATGTTCTCCAGCAAATACAAACACACACGCACAAAATACTATCAGCGTTTCTCGTACCTGTTGTCGCCGTTGCTGCTCCAACATTTCCTCCATCTGAAAACAAAACGAGAAAAAAGTGCATTAACTCTTTGATCCCTAAGAGTGATCACAATCAAATTTCTCTCTACAATATTACTCCTGAATCACACACGAGGGTCACAAGAATAAAGGAAATGATCACCAACTAAGGGAGCTCTTGATTGTGAAACAAATTCTCCTTATTAGCACATTAGGAAATGTATAGAAAACAGTATGGAGAATATGCATACTGATGTTACAGTGTCAAGGATTAATAACATTTTCGGATTTGTTTCTTTTTCAACATTTTAATTAGCGTTCCCAGTTTTGTGCAAACACACAAAAACCCCATCAAAGGTGATAACCTTGGCATTCCTTACCTCGTTCACTTTTTCTTTTTCGAGTAGTAGCTCTTGTACATGCGAACTACTGCTCATCTGTAAATAAAAAATGTAAATATTCAAATTTAAGTGTTAACATACTGCTCGGTACAGAAGTGTGTTGGGTAATTTTAAACTAAGACTCCTGGGTAATCTAGGTTTGCATATGTTGAACTCTGCTCTGTGATTGGTCGAGAAAACTCACACCACCGTCACAACCAATCAGATTCTTATCTTAATGCTCAGGCAGTTTCCTTCTTCTGAATTTGTTTTCGTATTGACTGCTTGTAGTATTTCTCTTCCTTTCACATCAGCCTCAGTGATTACCTTGGTTTTGGATGAAGGGTATTCAACCGAAATACGCTCTGCAGGATACAGATACAACTATAAACTATAGTTCCTTCACAGACGCGTCTTACCTCGACAAGCTGTTGTTTAAGCTCACGAATTTCCTTTCTGTAACGCTTTAGAAGTGTTCCATCATCAAGTACCTTAAAATATAATGGAACAACTGTTAAAGAGGGCTGTTGTCTCATTTCATGATTTACTCTAGGAGTAGAATCTGAAATAGCGAAGAAATTTTTAAATTTAGAAACCATGAAGATAAAACTATATGAAATGGGACATGTCGCGGTATACATTAAATAAAAGAATGATCTCAAAGATAGCGTGCGATTAGTTCCCATTAGCGCTGTGGCACGGGTAATGAGGTCACGAGATGTCTGCCACTAAAATTGAGCCAGGACTCTGGCGGACATCTAACGCACTCACATCGATCTCCGGCTCGAAATGCGCGGCCTCGCCACTCGCGTCGCAGCGCTCACGAGAGCCTGCTCCCAAGCTAACGCCGAGATTGATAGATGGTAGATTGGATGGATAGAAAGACGGACGGAGACCGTTAGAAAGATAAATATCTTAATCGGAAGTTAGAGAGGGAACAATTCACGCATTTTTACCTCGTTAACTTCTGGACAGTTTTTGATGGTTTTCGCTCGGCTGGCAAACTGAAACATGAAGGAAATCGTTGTAAGAGGATTACCTGTCTAAGACGCGGACCGAAGGGAAATTCAGTAATCAAGAAACCTTCCCAGACTCTTAAAGGTGGTAATATCGCCTGACATAAGTCGTGCGTGAAAGATCCACTTCGGACTAATTGACTCCCTCACTTGCATTCCATGTGGGACACACTACAACAGTTTCTAAACTGACTGCGCGTGTGCAAGGAGTTACATAAGCAGCCGGGCAGTTACCTTTAAAGTACTAATTGACTCTTCAATCGCCGCTGGAGTGATCGTACATAGCATGGAGGTCTTTGCATTTCCTCCGAGCGACGACTGTAATATTCGGGTTAATTTTGAATCCCGGAATGGTATAAAACTGCCGAGAAACAAGTTTGTTATTAGTAGAGACCTTGGATAGTTAATATCTTGTTCAAAACGGACAGGAGCCGTCAATATCCTGACGCTTTTGTCAGATTTAAAACTGATACAAATCGCAACATGATCACTCGCATTTGCTTGCCACCGAGGTCATTTGCTTGGTTACCAGTTGTTTTGTACCCATGGAAGTTTCGTACCTAGCTAAGATCATTCGTACCTAGTCAGCCTGAATTTTTTCCGGGCCATATTTTCAGTACTGCTTAGCTAGTGATCATTACAGCGAAGATCGCTTCCATATTCGTTTCTTTGTCCGCAGTTCACATATATGAATTTCATATTTTTACAGTCATCCAGTCAGTTTAGCCGTTTCGTAACCTTACTAACAAAGTATTCTTTTTCACGCCAGGTGTGTTTAAATTTGAGTCGGTTCCTTAGTACCGTCGGGAACAAAGGGATTGAAAAATTCACACTCATCATGCTAATTAGCTATTATCGTTAAGAAAGTCACAGGTATGAACATTAGACTGATCTATTAAAAAGATCACACTTACTTTGCGCTAGGTTATAATTTATCTGTCATTAAGATGTTCACAAATGAACGCCACAGAACTTTATTTGTAAGTTACAGGTACTCACTTGTCGTGCGCAACAACCGACATCTGTTACCCGGAATTTTGAACGTCACTGAATGATTGGACCGGTTCGAACCGACAGAAACTGGGTACTAACCAGTGCGACACTCACTTAACCCTTTACACCCTAACATCATTGTATATATTCTCCATACTGTTCTCTATGCATTTCCTAAGGTGCTGACAAGGAGAATTTGTTTAAAAATCAAGACTTTCCCTTAGTTGGGGACCATTTCCTTTATTCTCGTTACCTTAATGTTTGATTCAGAGGTGATACTGTAGGGAGAAATTAGATGCTGGTCACTCTAAGGGGTCAAACGATTAAAACGCGTTCTATGAGGCCGAATGAAATATTCTTACCTTTCTCCTTCACTTAGCTTGGCTATAACAGAGCCCAGGGCCAGAAGACTCTTGTTTATGTGCCCGCCTTCTTTCAATCTTTGACCTGAGAAATTAAAACAACATTTCTTTGAAGTTAAGGCAAACTTGAAATCACAGAACTAAATAAATAAGTTGATGAATAAAGTTCAACTGAAGACAAAAATCTGACAAATCATTGGACAATAGCGACAACATCAACGACAAAGACAAATATGAGCTAACCAAAAGCTCCAGTTTGCGATGCTCTTTCCGAGCCTGCTAAGTCAACCAGGTTCTGAAAAAGAAGAAACAAACACAGGTGGATGTTACAAAATGGGTAAGGAAGTAAGATCAAGGAAACAGAATGGGAAGAGAGTTGAGAAGCTCGACCTCGAGTGATTGGCTGAAAAGGAATGCAATCTCATGTAACACAAGTGCAAAGTTGGAACACGAGTGCAAATTACAATTAGCGCGTGCAAGCTTACAAAATTCCGTCAATCTGGACCCGCTGTGATGTTTTCTTAAAGGTATATTTGAAATAGGAAAGAACATGATTTCTCTAGCAATTTGGTGTAAATAAAGACTACAAATTGCACCTGCCCAACGGGCTCGTGCAATTTTGTTCACTTTGAAATATTTCCTCGTTCTCTTAACACCCCCTTGCACTCGAGATAATATTATTACTTAGACTAAGAGTTATTTGTTTACCAAATGTGCTACTCGAACTGCACCGTCTATTGTATCAGGAGTCTTGCTTTCGTCCATCATTTCACGGCTCTCGATAACCTTGAACAAAAAATAACGCAAAATAATAACACTTCACTGAGAGAAGGCACGGTAACTACTTTTGCTACTCATTGTGCCTGCGATAGCCGTATGGAATCACTTGCTGAAGTAAAGAATTGTCTTAATGAAGCGAGTTTGGTGAGGGCACAGATATTATTCTTGATCTTTACTACTGTGTGTTTAGCGGGACGGTGACAAGTGCAAACTTACCACCCGAAAAATTGTATGACTTCTGCTGCTGCGGTCGTTCATATTAGTAACACCAAAATGTCGATTTTCTACGGAAAAAAATGCAAATAGATAAATAAATTAAGGATTCTTAAACACCATTTTATTAAAATTGACTGCGTTCAGATGGTCGATCCTGCAGGTAAACGGCTGTATAATTGCACCTTCGGGTGTCAATCAAAGGACGGCGTTAGAGCCTCACGTCGTTCTTTATATTTAAGCTTAATCTTTGTTAAGTGTTAACAAATTAGTCACTTTGAGGAGGCAATTTTTCAAAGAAGAAAAGTGGGTCAAAGATCAGTTTGGCTATTCTCATTACCTGCGTTGCTGGATAATATATGAATTTTATGGGGAGAAGTTGCATTTTAATCACTTCTGGGGGTTAAATGGTTAAAATGACCTTTGCTTACGAGAACTTTCTGGAGTAAATGCGATATTTACTTACTCTCTCCTCGCATCATGTGTTTGAAGACATCTTCGCTACAGGATACCACCTCCTCTGTCAGATCACCAACGTAGACTTGTTTCTAAAAAACAAAAGGAACGGATTGATTTTTTAAAAACAGTTTCCTACAATATTATTGGGCAAACAATAACTTGGTTTCCTTTAACCCAGTCTCTCCTCGAACTCTCCTTCAATCCCAAGATGGCGAGTTGTAACGTTTTAAGACTTTTTCCGATCTACAAACACGCGATTAACGTATGGCGTTTTTGGTACACAACGACTGATGAGTAAAGGTGAATTAAGCTAAAAATTACAAATTTGCCATTGGAAATAACGTTTGAAAGTTTCTCTTAAACTTTTAGTCTATCGCTGGTGAATCGACGGCGCTAGCTAACACAATTTTCACGAGCTAGTTTCGCGAAACGCTTTGATCTAAAGGCCCGCAAACGTCAACAGTCAATCCTTTATATGCAATTCATTTGATGCCATTCAAATCAGATTCTATTTATTTCCGAAGTGAAGCACGGTCATCAATGTACATGTGCTACTTACTGTACACAACAAAACTTTCTTCATTTTTATTTATTATTATTTTTTTTTTCTTCCAGGGATTTCGTTAACTTACCTGAGCATTTTCATGTATTTTGAGATTGGTTTTCGCAGGATTCAGCAGATCTTTGATGTCCTGATAAATAAATAAATAAATGACATAAATAAACAAAGTTTAACAGAGGACAAAAATCTGACAAACTTTTTTTTTCTCTCTCTCTTTGGTACAAGAACTCCTAAGTCTTGCCAGACCTCTACATTTGAATGGACTGGTAGTTACTCCCTTCGGATTGAAGCAAGGCATTGTGGGAGGAAGATGTCAAATGATCTGACCATGAGTGAAACAATTTTGGCCATCAGTGGTCTCCATTATTGCAGTAGTCAATGAGCATTATCTTAAATTATGAATCAAGCTGAGATTTGTATAAAAATCCCAGCAAAGCATGTACTGTTCTTTCAATTATCAAACAACGAACATCAAGTGGTAAAAAGGCAATTAAAATTGTTTACGGGTGGGTAAACTCTTATCATCTCTATTAAATTTGTAGTTTGCCAGGAGTGACAGTAGAAAGTGCAATTCAAACTGATTTATTTACTGTTTGCATGCCTTTCAAATTCTACTTGTACAATCATGAAGCATCATCAACAGCGTATTATTATGTAGTTACCTCATTGTAGATCTCTATGTATGAAACTCGTATTAAAAATTCTCTAGAAGGATTCTGTAAAAAATAAAAAAAATAATAAGATAATAATAATAAATGAATAAAATAGGATGTCAATAGACTAATATTAAATAATTGAAAAGAGAAAAATGATTACCCTGCCACCTTAACTCTCTCCTCAGGGGTTTCAAAACAAGCTGGCAACAGCCAGAGTTTGGCCCGCTACCTGATAACATGTCATCAGTTACTTTGGTCAAAAAATTACCTAGGCACCTACTTTTGTAGAGTCTGATGACTACTTCAAAACATTAATTTTTGAAACCCTTGTCTCCTTTCCTTTCCTCAAATTTAACTTTCAATGCAACAGAATGAACATAAACGACACTTGTCTTCAATTTCATATACTTAATGGTAATGTACATGTAACAGGCCATCATAAAGAGTTTGTAAAGTTGGTGTTTCAAGCCTTACAGTGTTATGCTATTAGCTCTCAGTTTCGAAGAAGGGCTAAC